AGGGGTCTGAAAAGTCGCTGAGTTGGCAACACTGCAACTGCGGCGCTGACTCGCTCCGCCATATTTTTTTTCTTCCCCCGGATGACGGCGGCAGCGGGTGACGCATTAATCACGCGACACAACTAATCGATGATGAAATTCGTTGCCAACGCTTTTAAAAGTCGATTTTTATCAATTTTATCGATTCGTTGTTGCAGCCCTAGTTAAGAGCAAGCATTTATATTGGGCATGAAGAGAAGAGCATCCATCCATCAATCCATTTTCCATCACGCTTATCCCAAGCGGTCGCGAGGGGTGCTGGTGTCTATCTCCAGGCAGGATACACCCTGGACAGGTGGCCAGTCCATCACAGGGCAACACAGAGACAAACAACCATTCACACTCACAGCTAAGGAGAATTTAGAGAATCTAATTAAGTTAACAGTCATGTTTTTGGACTTTGGGAGGAAGCTAGAGTACCCAGAGAGAACCCACACACACACAGGGAGAACATGCAAACTGAAGGCAGAAAGACCCTGGGCCAGGAATCAAACACGCAACCTTCTTGCTGCAAGGCAGCAGTGCTACAGACTGCACCACTGAGCAGAGCATTTGATGTGTAAAATGCAATTTGAAAATAATCTCACGTCTAAAAGCAGAAATGTAAAACAAGATATAAAACTTGTAAATTTTTAAAAAAAATAAAGTTAAACAAATTAATTTTTAAAATATAAAATCTGTACTACAATTTTTTTTTAAATGTAATTATGAAAAAAATAATAAAGTTTATCTCAAAACTTGTTCTTGGCTTTCAGCAACATGAGACAAATTTCCCTCCGCCTACACGCGCCATAAAAGAACACTGCGGCATTTCCTGATGCCGGCGGCACATGGGTGCTGTTAGCAGCAGGTGTGAGCGCTGCAGTAATGAGCCCTTTGCAGCACTTCATGCTTTGCATTAGTCCTGCAGGAACTATGGATTGATGTTCCACCACAAAAACCTTTTATCTAACAAAAAGTAAGGAGAGAAAAATAGACGCTGAGAGGTTCCATTGCAGACCACTGCATTCCAAAATATGTTTCCTCCCGCTGTAAGGAAAAAAATAATGCAATCTGAAGCTCTGCTCAATGGTTTTTATCAATCATAAGCCTCATGTTAGCAAGTGGTTTTGGTGAAAAATTCAGAATGTCTCTTTTCTCTTGACTTTGTCTATTATTTGATTCCACTGACTGAAAAGACCCATTTTTAGCCAAGTCAAACAGTTAATCATCATCCCCCCCTCCCCCTGTAATCTACAAAATTATTCTAGGAAAAGAAGCATTAGGGAAATTACATTATAGAGAAGCCCCCCCCCCCCCCCCCCCTGTAATCTACAAAATTATTCTAGGAAAAGAAGCATTAGGGAAATTACATTATAGAGAAGGAAGAGGTTGAAAAGCATTATGGAAGATCACATATCAAGCATCTATTTGCAGGAGCTTGCCTCTTTATGGCCGGCTGTTAGATATTCAGCTCATTTTTCATAACTGTCTCAGTCCCTTTCTTTTCCATTTTTGTCTAAATCTTTTTTTGGCCCACAGTGCATTAGAGTTTCAGGGGTGCTATTACTCCCATTAAACCCTATTGGAAAGCAATAGCTGCAAACACATGAGGCCTGAGCCTCCGGAGAAGCTTCTATTAGGATCAGGGATGCAGGAACGCAAGGGAAGGTGGTGCATGTGTTAAAAGGATGAACGGGAGATTTATAGGAGATCCTTGTTGTTACCACCAGCAGAGTGGGTCTCACTGCATCGATAGAAATGGAATTAAATCCCAAAGAAGCACACTTGTTATTTAGGTTAGAGAGGAGTTATAAGCTTTTAACCTCCAGGTAAGTGCTGAGAAACACTGCTTCAACTCGAGCTGCAACACATTTAAAGGCTTAAAAAAAAGTGCATCATGGGTCTTCTTTGTTAGAACTGCTTCGATCATCACAGCTGATTTAGTTTGAAGAAAAACAGCAAACTTTGGTCATTAGGGAGGAAAAAAGGTCACATCATGAAAGGTTAAGTCCTTTACAAAAAGATGAAGAAATGTTGAACTTCCTTTTGTTGTGCATGTCTAGTTTATACCAAACTATATTCTTCTAAATGGACCAGTTGTTTTAGAGAACCAGAGGTGGGTGGGATACTCACAAAATTTGCACTACCTCATAAAGACGATATTTTTATTTTTTGAACAACATAGTATTTGATGAAAGGTTATTAAAATACTGAGTAGCTCATTATAGCATCTGATTTACCATTTAAAATTATATAGTAAACCAGACCAACATGCTTAATGATCATTATGTGGAAATTCTGTTATTTAAACAATGTAATTGCTAGTAAAAATTCATTCAGCGGAATTTCTGTATCATTCATTCAATTTTTTACATGAAACTAACAATTAAAATACAAGCATCGATTGCTTTGTATCTAACTCTATTAAATAATATAGAAAAAAGAGCAGTTTCTTTTAAATATAACATTTCCCTACTACTTTTTTAACATCGATTTGAGCTTGGAGGTAACAATAGTTTAGTAAACGTAAAAGAAAACATTAGAATCACGTTGTGGTGCCAGTAAACAACATTCAATAGCACCTTAGAAAGTTTTGCAGACAGACAATTTCTGTTTGTCACTAAAACGACAAATTGTCATGATTTTGTCTAGAACTCGGACCCACATGCAGATAAACCAATCCAGAGAGACAAGGGGAAAAGTTTAACAGGTTTTATTGAGAAGTTTTGTGGAGATTCCAGTGTTGCTCTGAACACTGCTCAACCGGAACTGAAAAGTGAGGGGAAGACACTGCGGTTAGTTTAGGTTCAGTGGGAGAATTGATCGAACTTGAAGAGGAGGAAAGGTAGGCGGACTCACGTTTCCAGAGAATTGGTTGACTCTTAGACTCCAGTAGGGGAGGAATGTGCTCCAGTGTTTGTCTCATAAGGTGGAGGGCGGACAGGGTTACCCAGAATGCAGTTGCTTGTAGA